CCAGAAGACACGTAAAACTGGACAAATTTGTGTCTGGAACCCCATGACTACTGGATTTATTATGTAAACATTGGATTGCGTCATCAGTATGGAATTTCTGCCGCTGAGTCGCAGACGTCCCTCCTCGCGAAACGTCCTCGGCGGCGAAGAGCGAGGAGAAACGGATGTTTTCGCAAGCTACAACACACCATGAAAAACGATCCCAAAGGGGAGGAGCGATATACTGAATAAATAAGAGCAGAGGATGCCAAATACTAGACTGAAAGTGACACACGCTACGAAAACTAAATTAGGAGCAGAAAATACCGTAAACAAACCAGCATGAAAGGGATACACGCTATAAAGGCTGAGGAAACCTAAGAGCGACACCCGCGACGAAAACAAAAAATGAGGGCAAAGCACGTTTTAAAAACTAGTCTGAATACGTCTCAAGTTAGAAGTGCCGCTAACCTTAAGGCGACACACGCCATGAAAACAACTTGAAGGTGGTACATGCCATGGAAACAAGTTGTAAGCGACACGCGCTATGAACACTAAATGGAGAGCAAAATATGAAAGACACCACGAAACTAGAGAGAAAGCGACACACGCCAGAAACGGCTAACTGGAAGGCGACACACGCCGTGAAAACAACCTGAGGGCGACACACGCCGTAAAAAACAACTTGATAGCCTGCGTAGCAAGCGTTTCCTCGCGAGGTTCGTCTAGAAAGCTGGGACAAGAGGGAAAAAATGAATGACGTGGGAGGGGGAGGGGAAAGAAGAAACCCGTTGCCCGCAAACCCCACGATTTTGAAAAACTGCGTTCGCCCACGAACGCAGCTTCTGATTGGCGCGGTGCGGGTAGTGTTGATTACTTAGCATTCGAAACATCAATCAAACCAGGTATACTTTGTTTTCGTGTGTCACAGATCTGGTCTCATCTGATTTGTGGTCGCAGATTACAAATGCTTTGGACTGATATTTATTTGAATCGTGTTTGTGCTAAGGTTTGTGAGATCAGAGTCTTCAAAGTATAATTGTAGATCGAGCAGTGGAGACTAGGGAAGACCAATTTATTGAGAATGACGGCGTGCTGATCTGACTGGAAAAAATGGACTGTTTGTTGGAGATGACATCAACATAAATCAGAACACACGCCGAGATAAACCAATGTGAAGGCGACACATGCCATAACAACTGAAAGCGACCTACGCTATGAAACAACTCGAAGTTATACACGCTATGAAAAAAAATGGTGAATGATACCCGCCATGAAATCCAGTCTGAAAGCCACTCACGCTATAAAAGGTAACTCGAAGGAGGTATCGCAGCCGGGCGAACGGCCTCCAGAACATAAGGAAGGATAGCGACATGAGCCTAGGCCATGCTCAGCGACGAAAAACCGGAACGGCACACAAAAAACGCATGAACGCATAGAAAAGCGATCTGATCAGTAATCCTGGTGTTGGCAAAGCATTTAAATACTACGCTCAATACCCAGGGGTAGTGCAAGGGTTCCTCGAGGGAAAACGTGCTCAATTATGGGGCCCGTGTGCCCATTTCGGAGCAAACATATCAATGAAAATAGCCCCTAACACCTGTTCTTAGATAAGGCGATCTTGGCTAAGTCGCGTCTTATTTTAATCGAAATGTGCCGTTTATACGGTGATGTTCGGGTGTTACTGATGAGGACGATGAGGATGCGTCTTATATTAGCCGGACACGTCTTTTTTCTCCTCATATACATGGCCCTATTTGTTCCACCTATAAGATCGAACGAATCCGCTTCATCCCGACTGAGCAATGGATAACGAGACACACCCGTCCAGAATGTTTTATCCGTATACATATTCCACGAGATCCTAGGATCTTTTTTTCTTTCTTTAAAGAATAATAGCACAGTGCAACAATCTCTCTTAATCAATTTTCTACCGGATACCTCTTTGCCGGCGACAAGAGGAATCTGAAGACTATTCTTGGTCAGCGGCACTTTATAAACTGAAGAGCAAGGTTTTTCCAGAGTCTCTGTCCACCTTCTTGGGATTCCCGTGTTCCGCGTACTAATATGCATGGAATGTGACAAGGCGAAGGTCCTGGTGTTGAGTTTAAGGTCCGTCTGATGTCACGGTGACCACGTGAATGCACATGCAAGTGATACAACAATCATTATTCGATTCGCAAGCGCACGCAATTCTGATCGGTGAGATGGTAAAGAAACCATCTAGACGCTTGTATTTTCTTATAGGCAATAAAAGCGCCATTATGTTGAGAAGGCCGAACTGCTTAGGTTTTACACAAGCTGTATAAGGTCTGTTTGCAATTACGCGATTCCTGTGTTTCACGCTTCGTTACCTCAGTACCAAATCGACGATTTGGCTCTCTCTATCATATGCCCCACCTAGCCTTATTTCACGACAACGCTCTAGCTTCGTTAGACCTAGAATTATCACTAGTGTTTCATCATCAGCGCCTGTGTCAGTCCCTTTTCGATGAATATCTTAGAGGACAGAGATCACCGTCCCAGTCACTTACTGCATACTCGACTCGCATACCCGTCTCGCATAGTTACACCCTCAGGCATGCCAGGAATTATCTTCTTAATTCCCAATGCCTCCGGGTAAATTAGAAATAGAATAGCCATCATCTTTTTTAAATAAAACTTTGTACGTAGTTTATGCTTATGTATTCTGTAGAGTTATAGCTTCTCTAAAATCGATTGTAATCTATGCGTTTTCTATAATTTAGTAGTTTTTATATTTTATATGTCTATACGTTATTTAACCTCTGGCTGCGAGGACTATGCTGATAAAGTATCCATCTATCTCTATCTGTCTAGTGGATAAATATTCAAGCTTAATTCTTCTTAGCGAACTTAAATATCACGGTTTAAGCGCAAGGGACGTTCAGCCAACCCTCTTGTACAGGAGGGGTTGAATTTCCCCGTACGTTGGAGCACAGGCAAACCAAACTTTATACATACTTTTTTGGCTTTGAAGGGAAATTCACTACAATATAGAAATAAACTTCGATCATTCCAAGCAGTGGGTTTGCATGAGTGTCGATTTCCTGTGTGAGTTGGGATGGTTGTTGCGTACATACGTGTATCTAGAATCTAGTTAGGAAACGACAGGATCTTGAAATGCATCGCTTTCTTTTCAGTTTCATGTGGGTCAGTAATGAACAATACTCTGAAAAGTCCTACATACTCAGACGGCTTCTATGCTGGCAACATGAACTGCGTCTACAATCTTTCGATTCCAGATGGTGAGGAGATGAGACTCAAGTTTCCAAGTTTTGATCTGGCGTCAGATTCAGAATGCAGGTAGGAGTAAATACGTTTAGCTTTTCTCATCTGAAGTTTAATATTGAGGTTGACGGTCAAAAACTTAGAAGCATAGAAAAATGTTATCAAATAGGTTTTTGTAAAATAATTCAGTCGTACCGATTGTCACTTTCATCTTTACGATTAGATCAGCTACTGACCCTTGAGCCCTGATTGGTTGATATTTTAACAATTACGAGAATCGGTCTGATAAACCGTTGTTTTGGCATCTAACTAGGAGAATGTGCGGGGGTATATTTGTTATTGTACAGCAACTGGTATTGATAGAGATTTTCTTGTAGGATCGATTATTTGAAAATAACGAATGGTATCAAAGAAGCTCGATACTGCGGTGACCAGCACAGTGTAAGAGACCTTTTTGTATCAGGAAACTACGTTGTATTAACATTCCACTCGGACCGGTTGCTCGAGAACAAGAAAGGATTTGAAATACTCTTCCTTCAAGAAAAAGGTAACAACTTTACATTTAGGGCCATTTATACGAGGAAAAATAAGACGCGCCCAAAATAAGACGCAAACTTTACCGTTTAAACGGCACATTTTGTCTGAAATAAGATAAGACGCGTCTTATCTACGGATAGCCCTCAACACCTGTTCTTAGATAAGACGCTCTTGGCTAAGTCGCGTCTTATTTCGGAGGAAATTAAATGCGCCGTTTATACGGTGAGGTTCGCGTCTTATTGAGGACGATGAGGACGCGTCTTATGTAAGGCGGACGCTTCTTATTTTCCCTCGTATAAATGGCCCTAATGGTTCCTCCTCTAAGATTAAACGAATCCGCTTCATCCCGGCCGGGAAATGGATAACGAGACACACCCGCCCAGAATGTTTTTATCCCTATACAAATTCCACCAGATCCGTGGAACTCTTTTTCTTTTAAAAGAATAATTACACAGTGGAACAATCTATCTTCATCAATTTTCTACTGGATACCTCTTTGCGGGCGACAAGAGGAGCCCGCAGACTATTCTTGGTTAGCGGCCCTTTTATAAACTGTATAGCAAGTGTTCTGAAATATTCATGAAATGTAATATATTCCGTTTAGGTATAGTCAGGAGGCAGCTCGCCAAAAAACTATTTTCGCTAAACATTTTGAGTAGAAGCAGGCAACATAGCTTAAAATCCTTGCCATCCTGATTAAGAATTCCGCTGTTGCCCACTCCAAATGTTATGATATCTGTCATTAAACGGGTTTTTTGTCTAGGCCCTCGCTCCTGCAGCATGAAAACGAGGCTGAACTGTAACATTTATATAAACCCAATAAAAAGTGCACAATACGATGGGGAAATAGCTGAATCTTTGCTACTTGACGTTTAGAGCTCGATAGACAGTAGTGTGGGAGATAAAACGCGTCACGTGATCAGTTATGAAGAGTCACGTGACTTCCCAATAAAATCGATTTTCAAGCATAAAAGACGCTCTATTCACACAAAAATGCAATAGGTGATCAGCTATGATGGGTCACGTGATGTAATGAAATCATTCTATTTTCAGTCATTCTATAGCGTTTTAACCTATTTAACATTTCCCATGAGTTGGGATTTTTCACGTAAAAAGACTTAACTTTCTTCTACTTGGCCGCACGGTTTAAGCCAGAAATACAAGCTTATAAACCATAAGCAAATTATCTTATATTACACAAGACCGTGTGACTTCCACCTTATCAAAGTTATAGGTCATGCTTCATTCGCCTCTGCTGCAGTGTTCCTGTCGTTTCTGCACCTGTCGCCACATTTACATGCCTTGGAACAGCAAAGAGATAGTTGAACGCAAGTGCAGCGTCGGTTTACACAGCATTCGCCCTCTCGGGAGCACCCACAGTATGCTAACTGTAAACACGCGGTTGACACTTCTTCTCGCGTTATTAACTTTGGCTTCAGAAGGCCTTCACTGTAATACCATCCGCTCTCTTCAGGCTTTGGGAGAGAAGGACATGGTTCCAGCGCTTTATTCCATACCATGGTCTGATAGTTTGCCCGCTTTACGTGGAGAATCAGTGCATCTTGAGTCGGAGGTAGGGCGTCAAGATCTTTCTTGGATTTGCGAAACGCTGCTGCTCTTTCTTTGTTGATTTCCACCTCTTGTATACCCGGATTGTAGAGTTTGCATACAAAGGCTTCAGCTTTGGCAAGAACGTCAGCACTGATTTGGCTTTCTTCTCCAAGGTGTTCCAAGAGGTCAGGTGCATCTTCGAAGACTTTCCATGCCGATGCCTTGCCCACACCATAGAACTGGCTTGTCGTATCACAGCCAGTAATGGCATGAAATGCTAGAAGCGACTTCCTCTTCTCCTCGCAGAGCGGGATTCTGTGAACTGGTATGTAACGCCTTTGTCTTGATGTACCCGCAAACATCCATATCTCTTGACAAAGCTGCTCTCGGTGTGCCAAAAGGAGGACAAGAACGTCCGTATCACGACACAAAATATTGACTTGCTTGTACCCTCTTGCTGCTGCGTCTCGGGCATGCAGTACTATTGTAGTATCTGCCTCCTCATGATCTGATGCGAGCTCTCTTATATCTTGTCGTGATGTGTCAGATGACCAAACCTTCAGTGTATCCTTGAAGCCTCCATTGATCACCAGCTCTCGCCCAGGAGGCGCGCTGTAACTCTCCCAGATTTCAGTCGAGAGGAAATGAGCTAGGCTAGCCTTGTTATCTTCTAGAATGATGAACCTTTCCCAGTTTCCAATTCTCTGATCTCTGTTATCCACATTGCGCCTAATCCCCGTGCTCTTTTTCTCCTTGCGCTTGTCTCTGGTTCCTCCTTTTATCGAGTTCTTGACATATCTGTCAAATAGCACGTCAACCCTTGTACAACTGTCCGAAAAATGGGAAGTGACATGACGAAGAAATCGGTCACTCCACTCCCCAAAGGTTTTTGCTCCTGAAGAGTTGGCGAGGGACTGAACAGCTGCCATTCCATCAATAATAGTGCATGTTTGACTCCTGCTGATAGGCATTTGGCTCTTGCAGACATTTCCTTGTAAAATGGTACCAAGATCCGACTTCCCTGCTTCTCGTAGACTTCCGTCTAGGGTAGCAAGTGACTTTGGGACTGGAGCAAGCTCGCTTTGAAGCAACGTATTCACATCTACATCACGACCGGATTCCAACAACAACAACAACAACAACACTTTATTCACATTTCCATTACAGGGTTTGTCAAACTTATTGAATAATTAGTAACTTAACACGTAGAATATTCAATTACAATTTAAACTAAATATTATTACATAGAAGGAAATGCCTAGCGGCTAGATAACCGTAAGGTTTTCGAGCTAGCAACTAGTTCTTTGAAAGTAGTGTCGAATGTACAGGACATCACAATAACTAGACATACAAAACATCTTAAGACATACACACACCACAAAAAAAAAAGAAGAAAGCACATAGATGGCAAAAAAAGAAGAGAAAACAGTCATCATAGTACATGACGATATGATTAAAATAAAATAATTTCAGTAAGTTAATTGTTCGGCCAACAAGTATTCTTTTAATGTTTTAGGAAAGTTATAACTTGAAAGGTCTTTTATATGGGTAGGGAGCTGTTGCCACAATTCGGTCGCCATAGCCGCTGTTGTTTGCTTTCCTATATTGGTCCTGGAACGTGGTTTGTAGAAGTTACTTTTTGCAGCATATCTCGTATTATATGTATGGACTTCACTTGCATAGCGAAAATGCTGATTAAAGATATTTGGTAATTTTTTAGAATGCCACTGATGAGTGAAGTTAAGAAGCTGTAGTTTATAGATATTTGTAACAGTAAGTAAATCCAATAAATTAAGTAATGGTAATGCACTGTCTGTATCTGGTCCAAACAAGGTGGCAAAGAACATAAGGCGGATAACATGATTTTGTTTTGTTTGGATTTTTTTAATTTGAGTAGTAAATGCACTGCCCCAGGAGGTTATCGCATAAGATATATAAGGATAGATCAGGTTGTAGTATAGTTGTTTAAGTTGTAAAAGGGAGGTGCAGTGTCTGAGTTTGCCAACAATTCCTGTGTTTCTAGAAATTCCAGTAAATAAATAAGACACCTGATGTTTCCATGATAGCGTGTCATCCATAAGTACGCCCAAATATTTTATGTAAGTTCTCTTTTCTAAGCCGTAGGTGGAGCCATCATTGTTAGTTAATTTTACATCCCATGTTATATTTGTCTTCTTTTTAGGTGACTTAATTATCATAAAATTAGTTTTCTTTAAGTTGATGGATAGCTTGTTTAAGTCACACCATTCTTTAACTTTGGATAATTCATGGTTAATTAAGTTTTGTAATTCCACGGCATTTGAGGAAGATACAAAAATATTGGTATCATCTGCAAATATTCTAAAGGACAATTTATCGGAGCAGTTAGGGATATCATTAATGTATAGTGGAAAAAGGAGGGGACCAGGAGAACTGCCTTGCGGGATACCACATTTAATAGTTTGTTTAGAAGATTCCACACCGTCAATGCCAACATATTGCTGTCTGTTGGTAAGATAACTAGTAAACCAACTCAATGGGATTCCCCGAACACCGTATTTCTCTAATTTATTTAACAGTATAGCATGGTTGACAGTGCGTATCAAAGGCCTTAGCGAAGTCGAGAAAGACTCCGCATGTGAGTAATTTATTATCTATTGCTTGTTTCAAATTGTCAGTGATTTCTAGAATGGCTTGTTCAGTCGATCTGCCCTTCCTGAAGCCGAACTGGTATTGACTTAAAATTGCATACTTTTCAACATAGCTTGTTAACTGTTTACATACCAGTTTTTCAAAAATCTGTGCAAATATAGAAAGTACTGAGATAGGGCGAAAGTTAGTCGGGTCAGTGATATCACCACCTTTTTCCACTGGAGTTACTATGGAAATTTTGAGAATGTCAGGCACAATACCTTGCTCTATGGAAAGATTATAAACTTTAGTCATTGCCTCATAGATGTGATCTCCGGCCACCTTAAAGCACTTTGCAGGGACTCCTATACATGACTCATCAGTTGTTAGGTTCTTAACTAAGTCACGCACTTCATGCGAGTGAATATACCTAAACATAAAACTGTTTGGAAAATTTCTGGTAATATATCTTGTAGGATTAGAGTTAATATGATTTGGTAGTTGCACTGATAAAGTTGGGCCTACATTAACAAAATATGTATTGAGCTGATTACATATGCTCAATTTAGATGTATAACATTTGTTGTTATAGACTATCTTACTTATACTACTATCACCCTTCTCAAGAGATCTCTGTCTGCTTTCACGGCGATGGTCTTGTTCTTATCAACTGACACTGGTACAGTGTAAAGTGTCTCAAAGGTTTTCACCTTCTGTTGCTATAGAGTGTCATGGAACTTTATTTCTTTCTTGATTAGCCTGGTTTCAACGAACTCTTTGATGACTTTCTTACCAATTTCCTCAATGCCAAGTAGATCTTGTTTAATGGCGTTACTTGCCACATCTCTAGTGGTAACTACAACTAAGTCAGACGTACATCGGAAGACCTCGTATTTCGTAAACTGCGCCTCCAGCTTAGCTACATCCTCTGCATCTTGTCGCATTCTGGCTTTTCCCAGATCTTTGGCGCTAGTGCATTCTTTTTCTAAGACGTTAAACATCTCTTTGGTGTCTTCTGACAGCTTGGCGCGCTCATTGTAGGTAAGACACCAGCGATCTCGAGCCGAGTCTGTCGTTGTTATTCCAGCAAGGCCTCCAGCTACCTTTCCAGATTTGTTTACATGCTCTAGTGCTTGGTCGTCGGGAATTTGATTGAAGGTGCTGGTTGTCTCCTTTGTGACAAAGTCGCCACTCTCAAATGCCTGCTGGATCTCAGGAGCAGTCTGCGGAAGCATCTTCATGTCTGCAAGAAATATGACGCCCCATCTTGTGTAATTCGAGTGGTCGAAAGCCGCAAAATAGGGTAGCATTTCGGAGAACGAAGAGAGATACAGATCCCACTTCCCTTCCCGGATCGCACGCGTAAACCTCAGTAAGATGGTGACCAGTTTCATGTATTGTCTCCAGTAACAGAACGAAGGGTTGTCGTGATGTGCGGCATCAAAAGCTTTGATGATATGTGCAGCTTGTCCAACTTCATCAACAAGCTCACTGCTAGTCAGGGCATCTACTAATGAATCATCGTCGTTCCCAGTCGTAAACTTAGTGGCCAATGTTTCCGACAGATTCACGAGAGTGTTGCATTCATTGTCATCCCTGTCTTTCGCCCACTTCGTTAACATGGGCCACAATAGCCTCCACAGTGCTTCATAACTTAGCTTGTGTGCACGTATTACTCGATTCCACAACTCTCCTTTAAGGATGTTGTCAGCTGTTGTCTCACCAAAGACCTCACTCTCTGCCCACATCTCCGCCATTCCCGATGACTGTAAGTACTTCCCGATGACTTTTGAAAAAGTCATCTGCGTATGAAAACCTCCAAGCACAAGGATGACATCCTTAAGCACTTCTGTCGTTCCCCATTGCAACATCTTTGCCTTGTTGTGTAGGCCCTCGTCCATGGTAATAACAGTGAACTTGCCATTTCTGAGGTGCGTCATTGCCTTGCATCTTAAGATCACCTTCCAAAGAGTCTCGAATTCATGTGCTGGAGCATTCACAATGGGAAGTGGACCCACCACTGTGACTTGTGGTTTTACAGTCGACAAAAGCTGTTTGAAACCAGCCCACCCTGGTATTGACTGGAGTTCAGGTTTTTGTTCATGTAAACGACCAAGGTTCCAAGCTAGGTCCTTCTTGTAAGACTCTTCAATTAGACTGCTGTCAGGTGTGTACCACTCAGAAACTACTGTCTTCTGTAGTTCAGGTTCTGGTTTCTTGTTGTCCAACGACAAATCGATTAGTTCATGAAGTTCCGATGGCACTTGTACATCCAGTCGCCTTTCTGACTTAGGAGACAGTTCGATATCCATTGCTGGTTCTCCTTCCTCTTTGCGACGAAAGGCGGCAACCTGCGTCGCATGGAATGTGCCCATGCCATTAAGTGTTTCTTCGTTTATGTCTATGTTATCTACAGCAAAACGAGTGTAGCCTGCAGGATTTGTGGTCCCAGTGAAGTTACGAGGAACAAACACTTTCCCGCTTTCCCTGTACCTTTCAAGGACATCATTTGCGATGGTATTGTCCATTCTAAGGACAGTGCCGAATGGCCGGCAGCGTGCAAAAGCTGTACCAGTTGTTTTGATCTAGTTGCCTGGTGAACAGTAAGGCCTATTCCAATATGCTTAGGAGTTAACTTATGCCCTCTAGAAGAAAGAAATAATATATAGATTTAGCCAGGGCTAAAAGCGAGGCTCCCATTAGTAAATTTATAATTTAAATTAAACAATAAACTTGTTTTCGAATTCCACAATTCAGTTAACTTTAGAGCACATTTATGTGACTTTTGAGGGAAAGGCTACCTGATTTTAGAGAAAAATAATTTGCAAACAGCCCAAGAGTGAACCAAATCTTACATCGAGTTGATAGCCTCATATGTACACTCAAAAACTGGTAATCATCTTTTATCACATTTAAGAGCCGTAATGGCTATTGATCACCGTAGATCAATTAGGCTTAGAAAAAACACCAGGCCAACGTTTTGGCGTTCGACAAGTTTACTTTGCAAAATCTTGCCAACAAATCTGGGTGCGTGTAAACCAACCTTTTATACCATGGACAGAAAGCAGTATTTCACAATACAAATTGCTCTCATTCAATATTCATAAACTGTTAAAAAAATTTTCCAAAATCACTTATACGGCCATCCGGTTCTCACTTTTGTAGTGCGAGTTGTAGCGAGTGTTTGAATGAACATTAACGGAGTTACGCTCCAAGATAATAAAGAATTTATCATGTTTATTTTTTAATTGATGGTTTAACGCGCGGCATTTTGAGAACTCCTGCAAGCGATGTTCACTGAACGACTGAAAACAATCGGCATAGCGATTAAAATTGCAAAAGAGACTACTAACAATCAATAAAAGAAATATAATTCGGTGAAACATAAACAGAGACAACAATTTTCATTCAGGAAGACAAGTATTAAAGTGTCCCTAAATATCCTGAATCTTCAAGCTTCAAGCTTAAGTTTGCTGAAGTTTATGTTTTAAGCCAGCTTCCCGGTGTTTGTTTTTTCAAAGACGAACTCGAGGCAAGAAAATCGCTCAAAGCTTTCTTTTCCGGCTAGAATTATAACTGAAGATTCTTTGGAACATTTTCTTTCTATTTGCGGTGAGAAACTGTCTAAAGGCTTTTTAAAGTTCTGTAAGATTATATCAAACCAGATACTCGGTGAGATCGTTGTCTCAAATCTTACAAACGCGCATAAACTAAATTCCCGCATAAACTACGCTCCACTTCATTAAATTAGATACAAAAAACAAACATGAAATACAATAATTTCTCTGGCTTACCATTCGAGATGCAGCTCCTGAAAGTTATCAGGTAAAGCCAGTATCGCTTCAGACTTTGCAATCCTCTTACGCATCAAGCAAGGTGAAAACGAAAACGATGCCATCCGAAATCGGATTTCCGACTTTGACAAGCGACGTTTTCTCAACCAAAAACCCAATAAACAAACTAACCATGAGTAACAGAAGACTCCTGATAGCAGCTGAATTTCATTTTGTACATCCAGTGGAAAAAGACAGTTAAAAACATCACAAGTTGACACAAAACTCTGTCAGCTTCAGCTGCTAAAGTAAACAAGATTCAAGATGCTGCATAAATTTTGCGCATGAACTCACCTGTCAAATTTTGACCAATCAGAGCATAAAAATTGGACGTAGAGCGTGACCAACGCGTGACCATTGTGAGAAAAAACAAAAGCAACTGTCTTCCCTGCCTGTAACAGCTGGCTGAATTTTCACGTCCGAGGTCAGTTTGCAATCAAAATTTTAATTGTGCAGCACATAAACACAACATATTTCATATGAATTAAGAAAAAAAATTGAACTTGAGCCTGCGATCACTTGAAAACTAGTTTACTTGTCAGCGGATAACTTCAAAAAATACTTGACCTCGACGGGTCGACACCTGAGCCCGCGATACGGTCAAGTGATACTGGTCAGCGGGTACTCTGTTTTGACAGCTGTCAATTGATCAAAACATTGATGTCCAATATGTGTGCATTATCAGTTTTTCTGTGCTCCCAAACTATTAGAAGTATGAGATTGAACGTTGTTCGCGATCTAGTAAAACAGTTAACTGGTCAGCGGACAGCTTCCAAATAAATCACGTCACTTCGATGAGTTGACACATGAGCCCGCGATATGGTCATGGGATACTGGTCAGTGGCTATCCTGTTTGGACAGCTGTCAATTGACCATATTGTTAATGTCCTATATTAAAGATGTGGACTTGCCAAGACACGCCTGAGACACCCCTCCCTTCCTTTTGATAGTCTCCCCTACCCCACCCATACAATCTGTAGACGCGTACGTACGTACGTATGTACGCTCGGTCAATCACGTGACAACCAAACGAAAAGAGGTTGACCATATTCCATGGGTATGGGGCTCTGTCCCACGCACGCTTCGCGCGCGCGGGAGCCCCGCTATTATATCTTGGGATATGCTCAGAATACGGGCTTTCACGTCATCGTGCGATTCTTGAAACTCCTCTTGATAGCCAGTGCACAACAGTGATATCAACATGAAGAGACTCTCTTGAACAAATTTCCTCTGCACTTGCCTTACTGATTTTTCCAATACAATCATGATTCGGCGAGACCTTGATGTCATGATGCACTTTAACTGCCACGCGGTACAGCCAACTCAATAACTCTGCATCCAGATCAACATCCTCTGTGGCATCGCCAATAAGACCGTCATCGTCTGATTCATTTATCGGAATTGTTAGCAAAGAACGCAGAGCAGCTTCCCCTAGATTTGCATAGACGATTAAGTGGGGCTCAGAGGGGTTTAACAGCGGGACAAAGGCGATATCTTCACCAAGAAAAGCCTGAATCCTTTCTTTAAATCTGTTGCTCCTGTAATACCCCGGAGAGAGTTGATACTTTTCTTCAAGTTGGTGAGAAAAGTATGTCCAAACAGCTTTGAGGGACAAAATATGGCCTTGAGAAAGCCTCTCCCTAAGCAAAGTCATTACCTCCTCGAAACATCTATTGGCATCATCAGTTTCACTACGCTGTTCGTTTTTTTCCGTGTTTCTTAGGAAGCGCGTGTAGCACTTGAGATGATATTTTCCTTCGGCAGCTATTAAATCACTTAGTCCGGCTACCCTACAGCTCAACTCTCTATCACTTGCTACATTCAAAGAATTTTTTGTGATGTTTAAAAAGTCTGAACTTGGTTTAAGGCGACTTTTTTCACGTCAGTCTGGCAAAAGATACATTTACTCCAGTCGATTCTTCGAACTGATGATCGCCTAGAAGTCTCATTAGCCAGTGCGTCCTTTCCGTCTGGTTCACTTTCAGACTCTTGTTTCTTGAGACCACGCTTGATGTACCCTTCGTTAGTGAAACCACTGTAGCAGTACCTGTGCCACACAACATCTTGGTTCTCTTCCTTCGTCTTTAAATTATCTACTATACTCAAGTAATTCTTTTGCTTATCACCACCACACTTTTCTCTGATCTCAGCACAATGTAAAATCCTGGATACACCTGCAGCGCTTCCTTTTGATAACGGAAACTTTTTCTTCGGCAACTTGTTTTCTTGGCAGATAATACATTTGCTCCAGTCGACTTCACCTGGCAGATCGACTGGATTATTGTCTAGAGGAAGCCTGGCAGCGGACTCCAATTCCATTTCTCTACAATAGAGACACGACAATTAGGATATCATATTTAACAACCAAGCTTGCCATACACTTAAAGATAAACCTGAATGCACTTTTCTCTGTTTGAACTTCTCCGATTCGTCAGTTCATTTGTAAACATATAGCTATAGAATGGTAAATGTGTAATTTTGGGGTTCTACGGGAAATATAATTTTGCCCATTCTCTAGCTTGTGTAACTAACCGGTTTTCAAAATAACGACTCGTGTATTTGCGGAACTTTTACCGCGACCCATGCTTATTGAACAACTTGAATTTACTTCACAGACTCTACTTGACAGTGTAGCAATTCCAGACAACAAATGCAAGACATTAAAAATGTTATGTTTCCAAGCTACAGTTTTCAAGATTCGGGGAACAAAATAGATCACCGAATTTAGTCCAGCCACAACAATACCATGGAGGCATAGCAAACATTACACTGCATAAACAAGTACATCTTCAAATATTTGTTTTCAAGTGGAATTAAAAAAAATAAATGTACTTGTCGTATTGTTATGATTGCTTCTTTAATGGTAGTTTTTAAGTACTTACCTCCTCACAGAATGTAAACTTGAAACGCTAAATGGCTTTCCTTTTCTCTGAATTTTTATCTGCCTTTCAGTAACTTATACTTTTTCCTTGAAATCTTAGACTGGTCTATCAATGAATACAAAAACTAGAAGGACAAAATCAAATTTTTCTCTCTTCGAGCTGCAAGTAATTCTAAAACAAAATGGCCGCAGAAATCTGCTTCGATATCGTTCAGCCTCGTTTTTGTGCAAATCTCGTTCCCATGCATTAGTTATGCATTTGAAGGTAGGATTTTGCCATATTGTAAAATAGAAACTGTAAAAGGCGATTGTATCAATTCAGTCTTTTTTAAATTGAGAAAAATAATTAAAAGAATCTATTTTTATTTTTATATTAATTTTCAAAATAAAACTTTTTGAAGCACATATTTATCCAATGAAACATAGTTTTTTTAATTTCTTGTAGAAAATAATTCATGAAGAGCTTACTGAAACAATTAATCAATCACGCTATTCACACAGCTAAGGCTAATTCAGTATCTATTCAATGGTTGTTATCTAGTCACGTGACCCATCATAGCTGATCCCCTATTGCATTTTTGTGTTTTTATTGTTGGATGTGTAAATCGAAATGAGAAACGTCAGTAAGTTGAAAACTATATTAAAGGAAAGTGTGAATAGAGCGTCTTTTATGCTTTAAAATCGATTTTATTGGAAAGTCACGTGACTCTTCATAACTAATCACGTGACGCATTTTATCTCCCACACTACTGTTTATCGAGCTCTAAACATCAGGTAGCAAAGATTTAGCTATTTCCCCATCGTATTGTGCACT